TGTTATTTCTTTACCCCTTTCCGCTCTCCCTGTGGCAGAAAGCAGAGAAGGAGAGGAAGGGAATGTCAAATCATTGGAAGAGGGTTGGGGCACCTCCTGCTGCAGGGAGAGCTTTGTGCTATCCCTGACTCTTAAATCTCAGCTGGACAGGGTGCTGGGCCACCTTGTCTGGACCTTGCATCTGCCGAGAAAGGTTGGACCAGATGATCCTTCAAGTCCCTTATAACCTCGGATTCTATGATTGTGTTGCAGTGGATGTTTGCTAACGATATTCTTAAGACTGAGCCAGTTAATGCTCTTCATGCCCTGCAGTAATGAGATGCAAATTAAGAGCGTGCCTTAATATCGTAATATTGAACAAAGCCACCGCAACCCACTGGCAGGTGGTAGCTCAGTGGAAAGTCTGACCAGCTCTCACAATTCTGAGTAAACCGAAGCTGTGACACACACCAGGTTTCCAGGAAAGCACATTAAACACGACACACGAGCTTAGAAGCAACGTGTTGAACTTTGAGGCATCACAAATTGAAGACGAGGAAAGAATTTTCATTTGACTACTTTTACGTGTGAGTCCTTGCTCCTTCTTGGCTCATCCCATCTTGATTCCGTGACTTGAGGCCAGGGTTGTCCTGCAGTCTCGGATATGGAAAATTTGCTTGGGCACGGTCACTGGTTAGGCAGACCAGTCTTGCTTATACTTCATCTGGGCAATATGCTCTTTTCCTACTGATGATGGCCCCAAAACGTGCATAAAAGTTCTTGGGAATTAGAGCTGTGAGACCAAATAGAGTGTAGAATGAGTAGCTTTATGTGCGGTGAAAGCTGAAAACTTGGGTGACTGTCTTCCCCCGATGTTTTTTCCTCCTTCCCTGTTAGATTACACAGATGTAGGGATGGAACAACATGTTATTCTCACCTAGAATTGTATCCTGACAGAGGTTTTTAAAGAAAAAAAAACATTCTCTAAACTGGACAGGTCTATTTTTTTTTTTCCTTTCTGGGAGATAAAAGGTTTTCAAAGGAAACAATACAGATATCTTTGAAAAAGTATCTAAAACAGAGGTGCCAGTACCTTTAGGAAACAATCAAAATCTATTCTTCCTCCTTTCAGCTTCTTCAAGGGGTTTTGAAAGCCAGCGAGGGGGGAATGCAGCTCCTTTTCATTGCAGAGAGGATGTGGGCTGAAAAGAAAACTGGTGATGGAGTTTTGGCTGACCGGACCACACACCAAGTGACCGTGTGCTGGTGTGTGTCCAGATACATGTCCCTGAAGACAGGCTAGGAAATAGTATTGCAGAAGTTATGAGGAGGTTTCCATGAAGCTCTATGGCTACTTTCCCTTTATTTTTCTCTCTTTCTTTACTTCTGTGTCCTCGTTCAGCCTTTGCCATCACAGCAACAAGTCTTTGCTGGGCTTTGTTTTCTCAGCTCTTAAGAGGCAAGCCACGTGGGGAGGACATGATAAGGTTAATGAATGGATGATGTTTGTCCTGGTCTTAAAATAATAGGAAAAAACCCACCCTCTCTTCAAAAAATCCTGGCTCTCAGTCCAAACTGCTGGCAGCTCGTGATCGGCCAAACTTGGCTCCTTTCATCTTCTGAAATGTGCTTCTTCTTGGGACACCTCTGCAGAAAAATCCAAGAGCTCGCTCCACCCAGAGAATCCGACACGCTTTTGGAGGATGCAAGCAGAGATTATTTGCATGTTGGAGCTCTGACACGAGGCTGTTACAAAACTTGTGTTGCATCTCATCTCCTAGGAGGACCTGGCTTTGCGTGTGGTGTTGAGCCTCCCGAATTTAAACTGTGATTCTTAACAAAATAGACCTCCTTTTGAAAGTGTGGCTCGTCAGAGGAGAAGTGTAGGAGGCCACACGGTAAATGCCACATGTTGCCAGCCTTCAGCGCTTGCCTGCCTCTGCCAGAGACGTTTCCAGAAGACTGAGTATTTAGAATCCTTTGGAAGAAAGTGAACTGCTTCTTACAGATTTGGCCAGATCTGGGTAAATAGCTGGAGCAAAAGGAAGAGGCATGTTTGAAAGTTTGCCTAAGTGGCGCTTGGCCTTTGGCCACAACACTAATGCAAATGCCAAGACAGTTAAGAACCATCTGTCAGAGACCCTGTTAATTTGGTAATTGGGTCACATTTTATGGGAATAGATCTTATCTCTGGTCATGGAATACAGTACAAAGTGCTTCTGGGTAACAAACTCATGTTAGAACTACAGTCTCCTAGAGTGGTTTTTACTATTAATGCTTCCATTAAGCATTCCTATATGTAACTTTTTTTTTTTTTTGGTCCCAAAAAGCATGTACAAGTACAATCTGGGTACATGTTAAGACACACAAATGATGATTTTTTTTTTTTTTTTGTCCTATGGAGTGCATACTCTACAAAAAGGAGTAAATCAATGCTACAGGTGTGTCACACTGGTTGGGTTGCTGCCTGCAGGCAACAGTCACAGCACAGGAAGAAAGTGCAATCTGGAGAAGAATGCAAGGAGGCTTGAGAGAGGCTCTGCTCTAAATCAGTCGTGCTTGTGTCTCATCATAATAGCACCCACCAGCCCTATTTAGGTTCTACCTCTCACAAATATTCAGTCCGAAGTAGCTCAGCATAGCTGAGTAATTTGGGCATCTCCTTTGTGCTTTATTTCCCCAGCCAGCATGTCGGGGGCACAGCTGAATGGATGCTGCTACTGTGCAGCCCAGTCCTGCTGCCCAGTCTGGAGCTGCAGAGATGACGCAAGCTTTAAGAGACGAAAATGGGAAGGAAATGGGGATCGATCAATGTCCCTTGTGTTTTCGTGTGACCTTGGGGGCTCTTGGGATAAATGACCCTGATTATCTCTCTGTTTCTCATCCCCGAAGTGCTCAAAGGCCTTGGGGGTGGGAGGGTGGGTCTGTGAACTGAGCCTTTGTAGGTTCATAATGGGGTTGGGATGTGGGGACTGGAGCTGTGGAAAGAAGGGAGCTTTTGAGCCCCAGGCCAAGTGCAGAACCACAGTTTTGTGTCTGCTGGCTTCTGCGCCGCACAAAGGCTCCCCACGTCCAGCTGCTGGGCTGAGCCACAGAAGAGGCATTGCCCTCGGAGCTGAACTTCACAGCCAGCTCTCATTTCACATCTAGTGCATTCTTCTGCTTCTACTCCAGATGCAAATATTGCCAAACTTTTGAAGGCTCTGCCCGCAGGACAGCTGGAGCTGATGGGGCCGGCCAGGTCAGAACTGTACAGATGTACCAGGGCGATTTAACCAGGTCTGCACGGAACAGGGGCCGTACGCCGCTGCAGAAAGGTGGCAGAAATGGGGACAGTGCCACTGCCGAGAGCCCCTGCCATGGTCCAGCTCTTCCTTCCATTTAACCTTGACCACTGTGGCTTTTCTAACTCCCCACTCTGTGAAATGGCTTTTCTGGCTGAGCCGGTATGCTGCTCATACCACTCTGAGCCTCCCGCATCTCACTGTCAGTGGTTGCTTTGGCAACAAATTGTGAGAGGCTGCGAGCAGCTCAGCTTGGTAAAGAATGAGAAATTTGACCAGATTTTACGAACCTTTCGCTGACCCAGCTCGTCCATCAAGCAGTGGGCTTCCAGCCATGTCTTCCCAGCTCAGGGGAGCTGCTGCTAAGTGCATTTAAAATGCAATTAACCCGCCTCTCGGAGGTTAGTGTGGCATTCTGAGGATGGAGACTGGGCTTTGCAGGATTGAGGGAACTCTTGGAACAGGCTGATAAAGGCCCCCAGCCATATTCCCTTGAGCCTGGAGAGCGAACCACTGGAGAGGGATAAGCATTAACTCTTTCAGGATTTGCAAATATCAAGCAATATATTGATTTGCGTGGGTCTTTTCCTATTTTTTTTTTTTTAACTAATTCGATGATAGCGAGTATCCCTGTGCGTAGGAAACCCACATCCAGCTGAGGGAGTTGAAGCGTGGCCCGCGTTGAGCAGCCTTGGAGTGAACCCTTTGAGTTTCCATTCTCTCACGCTCACGATCTCGCTTGCCTCCCCTTCCTCAGAAGAAACGATGAGGTCACGCACATTAAGATCCAGAACACGGGGGATTACTATGACCTGTACGGAGGCGAGAAGTTTGCCACGCTCGCAGAGCTGGTGCAGTACTACACCGAGCAGCAGGGCCTGCTGCGGGAGAAGAACAGCAACGTCATCGAGCTGAAGTACCCTCTCAACTGCCAGGACCCCACCTCGGAGAGGTAAGCCCAGGCTCCCACAGCCTCTCCCAGTCTTCCCAGGGGGCTCAGACTGGACGGCTGCACCTTGTCTGGGTTTGGAAAGGAGCCTGGAACAGAGCATGTTTGGGTGGGTTTTAGCTTTCGCGATGCAAAAGCTGCACAATTTGGGATACGGTTCTCTAGCTGCTGTGCGGGAAGGCATGGCCAGAAGCTGGCTAGGTAACATTAACAAGGCCCAGAAATGGGTAATTTAAGCAACTGGGAACATAGAAATGTTTAGGTTGTAAGGGACCTTTAAAGGTCATATAGTCCAACCTCGCCTGCAATGAGCGGGGACATCTTCAACTAGATCAGGTCGCTCAGAGCCCCGTTCAGGATGAGCAGGGTGACTCCGTATCTGCAAAGGGTGTATCTGCTGGTGTATCCTAGGAGGCAGCTTTGGTTTTTAAAAGAAGCAAAACACCTGCAAGTGACTTGTCTGCCTGCAGAACGCTGGGCAGAAATGCCCTGCACGAAACCTACCCCCATCCCATCTCCACCTGTAACTGCTGGTCATGAAGGGGAACACCTTAGTGGGGCGGCTGGTGGTGCTAAAACAGGCCCCTGACTGCTCCGTGTTTAGCAACCCGGGTAAGGAGAAACTGTGACCAGTCTCTGTTCCTGAAATGGTGCAGAAGTGCTGGGAAGTCCCTCCACCTCACATGCTCCCTCACTGCCGAGGAGGTTTCTTTACTCGCTCCAGATCGCAGCGTGAAAAGCAGCCGGGCAGCCGCTCACGTTAGCAGGAGCTCTGAGAAAGTGGAAACCCCCTTCCAGCTGGGTTTTCCCCCTCTTCTCCGGCCAAGAAGAGTCTGGCTTGGCGAGAAAGCTCCATAGGGATTTCTACTCCAGCCCACACACCTGGTGGCGTCAGGGAGAAAGGAAGGAACAGGATCCAAGTCCTCTAAATATATGAGATGATGATGGTGTCAGAATATAGCGGGATGTGTCAGGGCGGTGGTGTTTGCAAGACCTGGTTCTTCACCAGCGGTGTGACCCGTGCAGCCCCTTCTCAAGCCTGCAGGAAGGACTCTTGCTCTTTGGAGCAAGTCTTCCCAGTCTTGAAACAGCACAGTGAGTTGGGACTCAACATACCCAGTGTAGAACCACAGAATGTGTTGGGAGAGAGCATCACTGACTGCTCTTCTATAAACTTCATCCTCGGGGCACGAAGTTGCTGAGATGTGACGTGATGCCACCACATCGCCCCTGGAAGGTTGTTTTGAGCTTCTCTGAATTCCTGGCAGCTTGGCTGGCGGGCCAGGGAGCCGCCCTCTTCAAAGTGGGACCTGTGGCATCCGCCCGGAGCCACTGCTGGGTGTTGATGGAGCGTGGGGACAGAAGGCTTGGAGGCAAAAACACTTCCACTTTGCTCTGAGCTGTTGTTCGTGTTTATGCAAGGCTGTAGCAGAGTGCTGGAGGCAGAGCTGCTCTGCTCTTGCTCAGCTGCTGAGCAGCACAGCCTGGGGTGAGCTGCCGAGCCAGAGCTGCGTGCCCAGGAAGGGGCAGATCATGATGTGCTTAACCCCAAGGCGTTGTGGTGAGGCTTCTGCCCCAGCCGATTCGAAGACAGCCTGCGTTTCACCGGGACTGTGGTGTGAGTATGTCAGCCAGACCAAGAGAACAGGATTGAGAGAGATTAGGTGGAGAAGAGGGCACGTGCGTGCAAGATGTACACACGCAGGAGAGGTGGAGCAGCTCATGCCCAAGGAGCGAGGCTTGGGAGGAGCTGAGCACAAACCACTGCCTGTGGGAATCACTGCTGGCTGGAGCTGGAGGAGGAAAAGCCTCCTGGTAAGAGCGGGCAACCTGGTTTTGCTGCTCCAGGAGAGCAGGCAGGGCACGTCTGTTCTCCCTCAGCCAGAGCTGAGCTGAGGTTGGTGACCTGGGAGGGGAGCAGCTGGGAGGACACTTCCCAACCCTTCCCAGTGTCAAAGCATCTTATTGCTGCTCAGTGTTGTCCATGCTCATGTCTGATACTGTCTTGGCTACAGCCTGCGGACTCCAAGAGGTTCGTTTTCTTTTCCACATTAAAAAAAATACAGGAAAACTTAGCTGCCTTCAAGCAAGAACTGCCGGCATCATGGGGTTTTTTATAGCTTCTTCAGAGCCCTATCCCTAGATGACAGCACTTGTCATCCGTCACGTGGCAGTTTAATGTACTGGTGCCATTTCACATTTGGCTGGAGGCTCGAGCCAAGTCCTGACACTTCCAGCCTCGGGCTAAGGTATTGATGTGACATTGCAAAGAGCTGGAGGAACGTCGCCAGGGACTGTTTCTAAAATAACTCAAGGCCATGTCATGCCAGTGGGCTGAGCAGTCAGAGTGGGAGCCTGGACGTGGGTTTTCCAGGAGCTCCATCCCCAGCAGTAGCTCTTGTCTAAAGGCCAGAGCTCCATCTCTGAGCTGGCTTTGCTCTCCGTTGCTGCTCCTTAGGTGGTACCACGGGCACCTCACGGGCAAGGAGGCGGAGAAGCTCCTCACGGAGAAAGGGAAACCAGGCAGCTTCCTGGTGCGAGAGAGCCAGAGCAAGCCAGGAGACTTTGTGCTGTCGGTGCTGACAAATGAGGATAAGATGGAGACCGGGGATCGGAAACC